GCAACAACGGTAGAAAATCGCGCTGGTCTTTAATCAGCCTTATCATGGGCTTCATTTTCCCCGAACCGGGTCATTTTTGGTTCCATGGTTTTACTATGGGGGATCACAAATTTTCGGGTGAATTTTTTTTCAGGCGAAACTCAGGATAAGGCAGAATATATATTTTTTTTTGGCTGACGGTGCTAGGTATTTTATTCAATAGCTTAATCAAGTTGAAATTGGTACAATACAAAATTCACTCGTCCGTGAATTAAAAAAAAAAATAAATAAAATTGAAGAAAAAATGTCTGCGCAAAGTTTCCGCAAGTTGCTATATGCGGTTTTGTTCAGCATTCGTCATCTTGAATTTCTTTAATTTGACTATGGATTTGTAATGAGTGTCGTTGAAAACACCTGAAAAGCGAATGTTGGCAAATAATTTGGAAATAGTGGTTGCTAAACTTTAGGTTTGTTCGTCGAAAATCCAGCAAGAATTATCCAACACTCAAAATATCAGAGAGTAAGAAAAAATTCTCTCAAATTCTCTCTCTCATGTTGAGAAACTTGCAAATTTCTGCACGAACGCAAATTTGCAGGAATTTGCAAGTTTCGCTGCCAGCTGGCGTCCACGGTTGCATTTCAAACATACAAAATTTTTATAGAATTTTTAAAATTCTTTCCAATGGCCAAAAACAGGATATACATGTATATTTCTTGTTGTTCTGACTTTCTTTAACATACATTTCAATTTCTTCATCGTACTAGCTGTCGGGTTTCTTAAATCGACTCTGGTTGCAATTGCATTCCGATTGCGAATACCATTTTTTTCAGCCGAATTAAGTTCAAATCATTGGAATTAACTAAATTAATTATATCAACAATTATTTACTTCCTTTTTTCATAAAAAAATCGCTCGTGTTTATAAATTTTTAAATTTAACGAACTAATTTATTCAAATTATTGTAGACAAAAATGCAACCATGCGCCACAACCACATGTTTTTCGTGTTTGCAAATTCTTGCTGGCAAAATTTTTTCCAGCAAGAATTTGCAACTTCTCTCCAAGAGAACTGTCACTTTGCTCTCACAATTTTTGAGTGTTGGATAATTTTTTGGTCTGCACGAACGCGATTTGGGCAAAAATCGTGATAATTCGTACAAATTCGTACAAATTTTTTGCTCGACGAACAAACCTTTTATATACATAAGGTCCGTTCAATAACTTTTCCAGTAAGTACTTGCAGCGAGAGCGTGAAAGAAAAATAGAGAGTAAAATTGAGAGCAAGAGAAAATTTTCAGAAAAAGTTATTGAACGCAAAACTAGTAAACATTTGCAATTTAAGCCATTTTGATAGTTTCTGACGGTTAAGTTTTGACGCGCAATTTTCTGTTTAATTGGAAATAGTTTCCATCGTCATAAAATTAAAAAAAATATACAATAGATCTAAATTTTTCATCCATATTTTCATTTCACTAATTATGTTTCACCAAATCATCCTCTTAAACAGTTTGTTTACAGTTGATTTTGAAACATAACCTTACTTTTTGACTCCTCCAAATTCCTGCTAGTAAAATTTTTACTTACAAGAGTTTGCAGCTCTCTCGGGTTGTTACGCTATCGAATTTGCTCTCTCTTGCAAATATTTTGGGTTATTGAATGCATTTCCAGTAAAAACTTGCAAGTACTAGTAACAATTCGTAAAAATTTTTTGATCTTGAATAGACCTATAGTTTGCATGATGTTTTTGAGGGGATAAGGACATTTAAAGTCCGGAATCAGCCAAAAAGGCGGCTGGTGGCAGCTGATTTGACTTTTATCTAGTTGTAAAGAGTGTATACTGATATAAAGTGCTCCGTTTGGAGAGGTGTGGAGCTTTTTTTGTAGACCTGTTAACCCTTTGCTGTCCCTGTGCATCAAATGATACGAATGTTTTGCGAATGCGAATGTGTACATGTGCAGAGAAGTCTGTCTAACCAGGGTGCGGACAATAACCGGCTTTTAGCTTTAGGCGCTAAATGGTTAAGTAGTATATCAACGAACATTGATGGGCCTTCAACAAGTACTGCTAAAAGTCTTATAATCAACCTGGAAATAATTTTAGATTCCTCCTTTTCTCTGGGGCCATCAAAAAATGTGAAATTAAAGCCCAATTGAAGGCCTACCCTAAAGAAAAACGAGCTCATCTCGGTGAAAATCTTCTCGATTGGTGGAAAACTAAACTAAAATACGACAAATTGACAGATCTGGTCCGCAAATATTTGAGCGCTCCACCCACCAGCGTTCCAAGTGAGCCAAGTGAAATCGCCTCATGGGAGAAAAGGCAGAAAAATTACGTTTTTTTTTTTTAAAGAATATGCCCCTTTTGAACTTTGACTACTAGATTAAAACACTGTATAGGTTAATCACTCGTTCAATGTTCTAATAATTTATAAAATTTTTAAGTAATAAAAACGATGACTTAAGTTGATTATAGCTTTTTTAATGTTATTCCTAACATACGCATTTGCATTAGCACATTCGCATTCCAAAAATTCGCATTCGTGAATGTGAAAAATATGACATTCGAAACATCTCTAATACGAACGCATTTGATTCGATTTATAATCAAATACGTTATACATACTTCATATTCATCTCCTCTATTCGACCTTCAACAAAAAACAATACTTCATAACTTTGCTCTTTTCTATTAGCTAGAGTATTCAAAGATCAACGATTTAAGTTTGTTTCGTTTCTGAGAGTAAATAAACATTAAAAATTAATTGCGAAATCTGTACGTATGGACATACATATGTACAATGTAAGATTTTCTATGTGCAAGTGCACAATTTTCTGTAGAGCTTGTTTTATTTTTATAAAACAATGATAAGGGTACTTACCATGCAAGCTAGGAACATTTGAAGGTTGTGAAGTTAAGCAAAGCTGAGAATCAAGCAGATGATCTCTATCTGCACACCGAAGTAATGTACCAGCACACATGTGTGTAGTGGTTCTAGGTTAGGGATGACAAAAAAAAAATCGATTAATTAATCATATGCAAAAACAAAAGCTTTGATAAGCGTTTTGTTGTTAAGTCGTTGCATTTCTCGGTGGCTGTCGCACCAGCTATTGAAAAAAGGCGCTCATAGACACCGAGATACCAACTAAATGACAGTATTTTTTCGAAAGTCCGTAAAGTTTATAAGTAAACAGTTTTCATGTCCTCCCAAGCATCGATGATATTCCGCTTTGGTTCTAGGGCTTGACAATTTAAGTAAAAACTCATTTCATCTTGTGGGTGACCCAAATTATCAGGACGGAAAATAACCATTATTTTTGAAATTTTAAATTTTAAGTTATAATCGCCGTAAAACGATTTTTATTTATACCCACGTATTTGTTTTCGTACGTCCAACTGTAATTTACAATTTTTATTTTTCGAGTTTAACCAATAAAGATTAAAAATAATAATTAATATTTGAGTTTTAATTTTTCGCTCAAAGGTAATTATTATTACTTGATTTTTTTTTTTTGATCAAAAATAATGATTATTTTATGATTTCTAATTTTTCGCTCACAGATAATAATTATTATTGAATTTTATTATTTTTTCACTTAACAATAATGATCATTCCAAAAGATCAGAAGCTATGCCAGCGTGGTTTCTGCCATATCCTTTTCGGAGGTAGCGACACCCTAATTAAAGGAATAAGACTTAAAATTTTCAGGTAAAATTTTCAGTAAGTAGCGTCTATATAGCCTTTTCTATTTTATAAATAATCATTATTTTTAAGTGGAAAAATAAAAATCAGTAATAATAAATAAAAATGATAAAATAATCATTATTTTTGATCGAAAAAATAAGAATCAAATAATACCGTTGAGTAAAAAAATAAAAATCATATTAGTTTAGGGCGAAAAAAATTAAACTCATAAAATAATGACTAAATGCTGATTTAAATTATTTTACACAAAATGATTACCGTCCCTGAAAATTATCATATTTTCGTCTTCGTTTATGTACAAGAGATTTATGAGTGGCCCCAAGATCGACATCATTTTCTACTGATTCTAGTGACGACTCGCCACCCGTTTCCATAAGATCACCTGGGCACATCATTTAAGCTCGCAAGAACTTCATTACTGAGGCCAATGGGAACGGATGTTTGAAATGAATTTTTTTGAACCTCGGGTCGAGTAAAGTTGATGCAGCTAACAAAAAACGATGTTCGATGGATGGATTTTAGACAACTAGAAAATTCATATTTCTTGAAAATATTTTTACAATTAATTTATAAATAATCGTTTAACGAAACACAAAACTACGATTCAATTAAATGGTAAATTGAAACAAGAAAAAAATCGATTATTTTAATCAAATGAATAATCGCTGCCATCCCAATTCTAGGGTTAATGTCACAAAAATGTTGTACATACTGTTATTTCAGTTATGTATGTACACTTGCATGTACATATATTACATACATGTATTTATAGTGCATTACAAAAGGCTTAGATTTTAAGTCTGCACTGGCAGGCGTCAAGCCTCTTGACCTTGCATATGATGCTCTCACCTTCATACAACAGAGCATTCATACATTTACAATTGCTATCTTCGTACAAAGCATCCTGACTACACATTTCGAGAGTGTCTTATACAAAAAAAAAAATTAAAATATTTGAAATAGATGCATATCGTCGTTTGAAGTACAAAACCGCGTATCAACAAAATGCAAAACCGCGTATGTGAGGTCGCATAAATTATTTTCTAGAGAGCAAAAACACTGATACTTCAAAATGGGTATCTTTTTTAACCGACTTCCAAAAAAGGAGGAGGTTGTCAGTTCGTCGGAATATTTTATTATTTTTTTTATTTATTTTTACTTTTTTTATTTTTATTTTTTTTAATTTTTAAAAATTTATTTTTTTTTTATGTATGTTACCGCGAGGTTGTCAGTTCGTCGGAATATTTTATTATTTTTTTTATTTATTTTTATTTTTATTTTTTTTTAATTTTTTTTAATTATTTTTTTTTTATGGATGTTACCGCATAACTTTGGACCACGTCAACCGATTTCATCGAAAAGGTAGTGTCTCAGAGGTGGTCCCATACTAATCTGGTTAAGATCCGATCAGTGGATCATGAGATATATATATATATATATATATTTATATGAGAGTTGAAGTCGGTTTTTTTTTGCTAAAAATTATTTGTTTATAAGGCAATCGCATTTCTGGCTAGCATATTTCAGCACGAATGGATAAGGATTTAGCTATGAGCTTGTGTGACCAAATCCAATTTTTGGCAGCATATGTCAGTTAAGCGGTTTTGCAGAATGACGATATGCGGTTTTGTACTTTAAACGACGATATGTACATCACTCAAGTGAAATTTCATAAAAGCGAGGTGTCCCGGAATATAATATTTCATAAGGCAGTGTCACACGATTGGTCATTTGCCCAAAATTTGGTGCAAATCGTATCTTGTGATTGAACAAATATTTTTCTTTATCCCAATAACGAAAAACATTTTTTTTTTTTTCAAAATTTACAGCGGAAGTTCGCTGTATTATACCAATCGCGTGACAACAAAAATATTGCCGTACCAATTTTTTTTGTATTTTGTACCGATAGGAAAAGTTCTTTCAACATCTAGCGAAATTTGCTGTTTCAAAAATTTATTTTTATTTGTTTTGTATTAACTAAAATACACAGTGAATTGAAAATGTTTACATACACCCATATTCTAGAGATTTGAATCGTGAAATCTATGAAAATGTGATCACTGGATCCGAATTGCTACGAACGTAGCATATAATTTGAATGCGTACGTAGCATTCGGATTCAGTTATACGATGAATTCAGTGATAGCCCTGAATGTTAATTTATTGACCTTTTTTTATATATTTTACCTTATCAAGGTGGTGTCAAACTTGTTTGTATAATTGGACTTTTAGTTTTATCGCAAATTGGTTTTACAAGTAAAATTTTTATTTTTTTCTATAAAGATATTGTCCAAGCTTTAACCATATGCAATGAAAAAATTACTAAAAACCACGGCAATTTTTTAACCGCTTGAAATTTGCATTTCTTATGTTATGATATGTTATGTTATGTTATGTTATGTTATGTGTCTTATGTGTTTCCTTTCTTTAATTATGTATTTTTAACAAATTGTAAAATGCCGATTGGCGTAAAATTCACAATAAATAAATTAAAATGATCTAAAGGTTCAGAATAAAAAGTTTGAAATTTTAGTAAAAATTCGTTGAATTTTCCTAAATTTTATATAAAGTTTGAAACTTTGATTTATATGATTTTCGTGCAAGCTTGGACTGTATTTTTATAGAAAAATAACAAAAAAATTTAACTTGAAAAACATTGCGAATATTTAAAAATTCAACACGTGAACACTTGATTGAGTCACTGTATATGCACATACATATTTACATACGTGTGTGTGTGTGTACATATACAGTTGTCCACAAAATAATAGGAGTGCGATATTTTGACCAGTTTTGGCTATTTGTCTTTTGTTTATTTAATGTTTATTATT